GGCCGTAGCCCTCCATGAGCGCCTTCTCGGCCGCCAGGCTCTCCGCGGTGGGGGCGCGCACCTTGCGCAGGGAGATCCGACGCGGCAGGCGGCTCTCCAGGAGCGAGTTGCGGATCTTCTCAAAGTTCTTGCTGAGCTGGTACTGGCGGAAGGCGGTTTGGATGGTGCAAGCGGCGCGCCGGGATACCAGGTGGCCCCCGTATTTGTGTTCTAGCATTTCAATCTGCAAGGACAGAGAGGAGGAAGAGCACGGTTAGGGAAGGGGTGTTACAGCCTTTCCAAAAGATGGGGCTGATGGCTGTCCATCAATGCAGGGAGTCGCCTGGCTAGGCTTTGCAGGGACCCAGACTGCACAACTGGGGGGGACACTGAGGGGCTCAGGTCTGAAAACTAGCGTGTCGGCAGGAGATACCAGGTCCTTGGCAAGACCCTCAGGATGTAGGAATGGGTTCCAGGGCTTGGTAAGGTCTCAGGCGGGGGGAGAGGCATTGCTGATTGTAGTAAGATATTGCTGGCTTGGGGGTGATTTTAAAATGTTCCTATCAGCCCTGGCCAGTGTTACTCGGTGATCAGAGCCTCCACCTGCTAGGGTCGCGGGTTAGATCCCCCGCTGGGTCGGGTGCATGCGGGAGGCAACCAATTGATGTGTCTCTCTCATGTCGACCTCTCTCTCTCTCACTCTCGCTCTCGCTCTCCCTCTCGCTCTCTCCCTCTCTCCTTCCCTTCCCTTCCACTCTCTCTAAAGAAAGAAAAAATAAATGGAAAAATATCGTTGGGTGAGGATTAACAAAATAAAATGTTCCTATCAGAGATGCATATGGAAGTATTCATGGGTGAAATGCATAATATCTTGAATTTGTATTAAAATACTCCATCAAAAAAGTGGAAGGGTTAGATGAAACAATATTAATAAAAATTGTTGAAGCTGGGTGATGGTCTCTAAAGAAAGAAAAAATAAATGGAAAATTATCCTTGGGTGAGGATTAACAAAATAAAATGTTCCTATCAGAGATGCATATGGAAGTATTCATGGGTGAAATGCATAATATCTTGAATTTGTATTAAAATACTCCATCAAAAAAGTGGAAGGGTTAGATGAAACAATATTAATAAAAATTGTTGAAGCTGGGTGATGGTTGTAAGGCAGTTTATTCTTTCTACTTTAGTACACATTTAAAAATAATTTTTAAAAATTAAACAGAAATGCTTTAAAAATTTGCTGCTACTCTTGTTCTCTGCTCTCCCTCTCAGCATTCCTGTCGCTGCATTGGGGCAGTCCCTCGGGCATCATAAGGGTTGGGATTGGGGTTTGATCATCTCTGTGTTCCCAGTACCCAGCCCAAGGGCTGGCACATAGTAGGTGCTGAATAAATGTTACTTTAATTACAAGGTTGATGGATGGGTGGAGGATGGAGGATGGATGGCTGTCTCAAGAGTGGGAGGCCCTCCAGGCTGCCCTGCTTTACAATACCCGTCACCTCTGTGCTCATCGATGGGAGCTGTACCACCAGGGCCCGGCTTGGTGGGGCTGCTGGTGGGGGCACACAGCCTCGTCTGGGTAGATCTGAACCCAGGAAAATGTCTGCCAAGGGGCCAATCTGTCCTACTTTACTTACATCCTCTCAGCTCCGACCCCAGTCTAAGGTCTTTTCTACCCCTTAGGTTATGCTCTTACTTCTCTCTTATCAGAACTTCTCAGAAAAGGACTTGAAAGATATTCCCACTGAGATGTGAATGACCAGTAACATTTACTCATGCCCCTTCCTGGAGATTCTTGCATTTAAATAAGGGACAAGGACTATGTTAAGGGGATGGACAAATGGTAGCACTGTGGGCTCCAATCAGTCCTTAGGGAAGTTTAGAAAGTGAGACAGTGTTCCAAGGCCTAGTCACAACCATACGCTCCACATACATGAAGTGTCATTCCTGAATTAAGAATTGGGATAGGTGGGCTGAGATAAACAACTTACGGCAAGAACAGCATTATCCCTCCCATGTTCCCCCAGGACCAGGGGTGGGAGGGGTACAAAGTGTCCTGAGGCCCCGAAATTATGTCCTAGTCACAACCATACACTCCACATACATGAAGTGTCATTCCTGAATTAAAAATCGGGATAGGTGGACTGAGATAAACAACTTACAGCAAGAACAGCATTATCCTTCCCATGTTCCCCCAGGACCAGGGGTGGGAGGGGTACAGGTAGGCCAAATTTCATTCCTCAATAGGAAGAATCATTCTACTCACTTCCTGCTCCACTCAACTGGCCAGGGACTGCAGCTGGCGTGATTGCCTCCCCATAACCCCAGCAGTCCTCTCTGTTTCCACCCTTTGGGTACCCCACAGCTGCACCAGTGGAGGCACCCTCCTGCCCTAGGAGACCTCACAGATATAATCCCAATCCTCTGGAACAGTCCCAGCTAAAATGAATGCCCTCAGTCCTATCTTCAAGATTCTCTCCTAGTCCCACCACCCAGTGCCCTTACCTATCCTCAAACCTAGCGGCAGTGCCCTTTCCTGTCTCTCTCCCACATCCAACCCTCTTCTCTGAAGATAGTTGGAAAACTTCATATTAAGGTTTGGATGGCCCAAAGGCTTCCTATATGACTCCTCCCAGAAGTATTTGCATTTTATAAGGTACAAGAGCTTAAACAGAAGGCAGAAAGCTCTCCCAGTCCTCATGATCTTCATATTGTAGGGGCCTTCAATATGTTCTTTAAAAAAATCATACTAAGTGTATTAGTTATCTATTGCTACGTAGCAAGTTACCACTAATTTAGCAGCTTACAACAACACCCATTTGTTTTCTCACAGTTCTGCATGTCAGTAGTCTGGGCACAGCTCAGCTGGGTTCTGTCCATGGGATCTCACCAGGCTGAAGCCAAAGTGTCAATCTCATGTAAGCTCAGAGTCCTCTTCCAAGCTCACTGTTGTTGAAAGAATTCAGGTCCTTGAGATTTTAAGATTGAGGCCTCCGTTACTAGAGGCTGCCTGCTGTTCTCAGCCACAGGGCCCTCTTCACAGCAGGGTTGTTTGCCCTGTCAAGGCCAATAGGAGAGAATCTCTCTGAGGCTTCACCTTGTTTTAAGGGGTTCAACTGATCAGGTCAAGCCATCCAGGATGACCAACCTTTTGATGAACTCAGCGTCAACAGATTGGTAACCTAATGATAGGAGTGGTCTCTCTCTCTCCATTCTCTAGTCCCACCCACACTGGTGGTGGGTGTTGTGCAGGATGTGTACACAAGGGGGCAGGAGTCTGGGGACCTTCTTAGAATTCTGCCACCATACCAATTGGACAGTTGCTTACTGGGTCTTGATCTGAGCATGACCTCATGTACACAGGAGCTCCAGAGACACACCTGCCTTCCAGGCATTCAGTTCCTGCTTTTGCAGAAATCGTGCCAGAAAGGAAAGAGTACTGTAGCTCAGCTGTTCTCCCTGCAGAATTCTAGCAAGTTTCCTGAGGCCTGGAATGTAGATTGGCCTTGGCTTAGGCAGGAAAGTCCTCCAAGGAGAAGTATAGAGTGAGGGGAACTGGCCACTTACCTGCCCCCTTCTCTCAATTTCTGTCTCCCTCTTACCCCTCCCCAAGCACCCCAAGAGAAACTGACACGAGGTGGAAATTACACCTCTTTTCTACCTGGTCTATTCATTAGGGAAACCCCACACGCAAGAGCATTCATTTCAGGTTATGAGATGCTATTGACAATAGAGGGAAAGTATGAAATCCCATTGCCTGAAATGCTTCCAAAACAGTAAAGGGGTCCCATCCTCCTTGCATGGTATCAAGGAGGCAGGAGGCTGGATGGGATGACCCTAGGACCGTGGTCGGCAAACTGCGGCTCGTGAGCCACATGCGGCTCTTTGGCCCCTTGAGTGTGGCTCTTCCTAAGCCTTAGGAGTACCCTAATTAAGTTAATAACAATGTACCTACCTATATAGTTTAAGTTTAAAAAATTTGGCTCTCAAAAGAAATTTCAATCATTGTACTGTTGATATTTGGCTCTGTTGACTAATGAGTTTGCTGACCACTGCCCTAGGAGACTTCTACCAGCCACTGTCCATGCTTCATCAAAGTAGAGAAGAAAACCTGATTTTAAATTCTTGAATCTGTTCCATCAAGTCCTCCACTAGATTATAAGCCTCATGAAGGCAGAAACTTTGCCGGCCATGTTCACTGCTCTATCCCCAATGCTTGGAGAATACCCAATCCATAGTAGGACTTCAATCAATATTTATTGAATAAATTAAAGAATTAATTCCAAAGTTATCTTTGTGACTCTCCAAAACCCTCCTAATCTGCCCTGCAACTTTCCTCTCCTAGAACTGATTATCTCACCCTCTCTTGCCTCCTTTGTGCATTTACTTCATCCTCTAGGCTCTCTTTTACTTGTATTTCCCACCCTTACCCTTCCATTGCCCCTTTCCACCAGCCTACAGACTCCCAGATCTCCCCAAGCTAAAACACAATTCTGCGTGGCTCCCCTGCTCTGGGGCACTAGCTCAATCTCTTTTTATTTCCACCAAACCTCTTAGAGAACCAGTCTACACCCTCTGCCTCACTCTGTGAGCAGATGCCAAATTGCTGATCCAACCCTGTATGCCCTGGCTCCTTGCAGTCTGCCTCCTGCCCCCACCAGTCTTCTAAAATGATCTTTAGTGACTAAATCTAATGGCCCATCTTCAATCTTCCTCCTCCCTCTTTTCTGCAGCTCTTGATATTTTTATCACCCTGAAACTCTATCCTCAGCTCTCCTGTCTCTATAGAGCTCCTTAATCCTACATTTTGACCACCAAATCCCTAAGCATGTTAGTTACAAGTCATATATGTGCCATCTTCTATTCTCCGGACATATTTTAATTATTTTTCTATGCACTTCTGGACATTTTCCATGATTTCTATGTTTCTATGTTGGAAGTCATTAGAGAAGCTCCTGGCAGTTGATAATTAACAAGTAATTAAGAGGGAAACTATCTCTGGCAGAGCCTTTGTGGCAACTCTAAAGATGTTCTGCAGGCTGTTCTTACCTCTTGCCTGAGAACCTCGTCCACACTACCATAACTTCACTCTACTTTAATGGATTGCTGAGAAAGCTGTAGGGGATATACTCAGTCCCAGGTCTACCTCTTCCCTGCTGGTTGACTTTGGACATGTTTCTGTCTCTCAGTTTTCTTATCTGTTAAATAAGGCTGATCCTGCTGACTCTGTTGCTTGTTGTGAGG